CGCAGCCTTAAACAAACCCCACAGTGTGGCTCGCAAATGTTTACTAGCAGCTTCACAAGCGCGCGCCATTCTCTCCCGCAGTTTTACCGCGCAGCTTTCTCGCTAAACAAACCCAGAGCGCGACCGCCAAAACAAGCGGCGCAGACCGCAGCGCTTTATTGCCTCTCGCGTGCGCCCGCGCGACATTTGCTCACCAGATGTCAGTGCACGACTCTCCTGCGTTGTTTACGCCCGCGCGACCCGGGGGGGTACTCTCGATCCGCAGAGACTCACGACGCGCGACGAGCCGAAGGTATTCGGCGGCGGCACACTAACATTGCGATTCATCGCCCGTTATACCGTCAAAGGCGGCGGATCTCCTACTCGCATCATTACGATTTCACTCTGCTTTAATTATCGCTGCCCGTACGTTAAGCTGCCGTAACGCGTGCTGCGTTCTGCTCTTCAAATCGCGTTCTCGTGACTCGTATTCATTACATTCCAACAGTTAATTGTCGCTTCCTCGCATATGCCTCGGTAATGGTGCCGTCGGACTTTGTTCGGGTCAAAAACGGCGCGATTTCCTACTTGCGCCGCATTTGCATTGCACCGCTACCGGCGGCAGTTCATTGCCAGATTTATGACCGACGAGTTCTAGACGGTTCGCGCGCGCAGGCCGGATAATATTTTTTTTTTTAATAATTATAAATAAAAATTTACGCTCGGCCGTAAATTAAACGCACCGCCTTCATCACGTCCTCCTTCTGGGATACAACGTAAGTTTCCGCAGACTGTTAGGAAACACTGCGAGGGAATTGCGTAAACATAATAGAAGTGGCGCCGCGTGGGGGGGATGCATGCAGCGTTTGTAGGCGGATGTGATTATCCCGGCATGGCCATTTGCCAGGATGCCATGATGATGCTAGTAGCTTAGAAATATTGCTCCTTTTTATTGGACCGCCTATCACCGTAGCAGATGATCGGCCTCCTGTAGCGATGCATTACACGCAGGCCAGCCACACGCCGGCTTGTTTTGAGTAGCCGAGTAAAAAATTTGCTGTTTTGAAAAAAACGAGAATTGAACCGTGCTGGCGAAACTTTTTTCGCTCTTGGCGAGTATGAGTTCGTGAATCGTACGTAATCTAGAGGCGTTTCATGTTAAGCTACAACGCAATGCAATGTTACACCATGCCCTAGTTACATGATGCCAGTTTTAAAATTGGCTACACCATTTGCTAGCAAGCTTAATGTTAAGCCGCTACACGAAGCAATGCTTTACACTGATGTCAGTATTACGAGGCTACATGACGACAGATAAATGGGTACATCATGCTAGAAAAGCTACACGAATGCAATGTTACACAATGCTTGCTTGCATCCTGGACTGAATCGGGCATGCCCAAGCTTACTTTTGTCCTAGGTATATCAAATGATACTAGCCACAGTACATAATGCCTGGGCCATGCTGCTGAACAATTACGACGATGTCTGATAGATTGGCAGCTACCGCAACGGGCGGCGAACCCAGCGATTGCAGTCCGAAAATTGTCGCGGTTCCGTGTTGCGCCAACAAAAAAATTGCGCCCATACGGCCAAACTCTCGCTGCCCCGCCAATAGCGAAAACCCCTTCTCGTTCCTCTCCCCATGTTTCGCCCTGTGTGAGAACTTGCGTCTGACGAACCTCCTTCCATTCTCTGCCGTCCGCTTTTGCAGCCACGCAAACATTCTCAACAGCGATCGGACTCTGAGCTTCTGCACAACAGTGCTCGCTACGGACCGAACAACGCTGACGGCGCCGCAAGCTGTTGTCGGCTGTTTGAGCTCGGCGTTCTGCGCATCGTCGGCCGGCCAGTATACGCGCACGAATGGCGAAAAGCGCTATGCGACGTGTGCTGCCATCTAGAGAGAGCGACGTTGATGCGGTGCGACTGTGTCGAGAATTGAACCCTCACTCCATCGTGGCTTTGCGCGTTAATTTATGCACGAAATGTTCCATCGGGTGTTAATTCATGTATGCACCGGTGTGTCGTGACATTGTGTGTTAAGTTATGCACGACCATGTTCCAAGTTGACATTGTGTGTTAATTTATTCACGGTGCACACGTTCAGTGTAACATTGTAAGTTATTTATGCGCCACCATGCTTGCGAGTTTGACATTGTGAGGTAATTTAGGCTGTTGGCTGCCCATTCCGAGTTCACATCGTGTGGTTAATTATGCGTGGCTGCGTCCACGTTGACATCGTGTGCTTAATTTTTAATGCGCTGGCCTGCAGTTCCAGGGTGGCGTCATGGAGATCGTCATCACGTGGGATTGTAACTTTGATCGCGACGTGCATGAATGCATTTCCGCAATACAGCTTCTCCCGTCTCGACGACCGAACGACGAGCTCGCGAAGGGATACAACTTCAGGTAAGACCGCGCGCCTCGTCGACGCAGGCGGGCATCGTCGAACCCGCGTCCGCAGTCCTCTCTATAGAGCAGACACCTGTCTATAAAGGACACTTGATTGTTTTCCTTCAGTGGTAGTTATTGGTTAGTTGAAGGCTACTCTACAAGAGCAGATACCTGCTCTATAAAGGACAGTTTAGATTGTGTTCCCGTCCAGTGTCGGTTATACATTGAATCTACTGTATAGAGCAGACACCTGTCTATAAAGGACACACTTTAGATTGTTTTCCTTCAGTAGTCGTTATTACTTGAATCTACCTTATAGAGCAAGCACACCTGCCTTCGTATAAAGGACACTTTGCCGTGCTGTCTTCACTGGCGGCTCTACAGAGAAACCAGCTCGCTGACTATTTAAGCACTCGTGGGAGGCACAGATGGGTTTTTATCTTGGAATCCTAGTCTACAGTAGAACGTGCACTATTTTTTAATTGGGGAGTTATTTGTGTAAGCGGGCCCCCCACTGATTGGCTAACGGCTTGTGTACCTAATTTCCATGCTACCATATGTTGTAATGGTTTGCGAAATAAGCCGAATATATCATCTAGTTTCTGTTTTAGCGTGATGTGCCTGATGCCAGGGTTGAAGCCAGCCGGTACATGGCAGATGTTAGCAGTCACAGGTTTGTTTGTTCGAGTTTCCCCCCTGCGTTTTATCCGAAATCTTCCGAGAAGTCTCTTCGAAAGTCTGACATGTTGTTGTCCTATCTATCCACTGATTAGGTTGGATTTGTGAATGATAGAGATGTTATTTTGTTAATATGCATCTAATTTATCGATCGCTTGATATGGGCTCTCCCTGTATTTCCCTAAAACTTTTGTTCCTCTCTCGCCTTTGTACACTTTGTCTATCTCTCTTTCTCATTCTCTCGCATGCTCTCTCACTCCTTTCTCCATTGCTGTCTCTCTCTCTCTCGCTGCCTCTTTCTCTCTCTATCCCTCTCTCTCTCTCTCTCTCTCTCTCTCTCTCTCTCTCTCTCTCTGTATTCTGTAGTATCTTATTCCTCCCTACCTCTCTTATTCCCTACCTTCCTTGGTTTCCGCCACTGCTTTTCTCTCTCCCTCTTCCTCCCCCCTTTCACCCTACACGCTGTAGCTGTCTATATACCGTCTCTATCTGTCTCTCTTTGTGTTGTAGGTGTTGTAATGAGTTGTATGCTTACCTTGCAGGTACGCTCACTACTACTACACTGGAGACGTGCAGACCAGAGTTCTCTACAAGGCTTACGGGATACGCTTCATGATCAGCGTGACCGGGCAGGCAGGAAAGTTCAACATCATTCCACTCGCTACTAACATCGGTGCTGGCCTGGCACTGCTGGGCATAGTAAGCTGCTGATCTTGTCCTATACTCTATCCTGATCTCTCGCGTCTAGGTTTTACGCTTGTCTGTGTTTTACGCTGGCTTGGCATTGCTGGGCATAGTAAGCTACTGATCTTGTCCTATACTCTATCCTGATCTCTCGCGTCTAGGTTTTACGCTTGTCTGTGTTTTACGCTGGCCTGGCATTGCTGGGCATAGTAAGCTGCTGATCCTGTCCTATACTCTATCCTGATCTCTCGCGTCTAGGTTTTACACTTGTCTGTTGCAGGCTTTCAAGTATTCCTATTTTTCCTACTTTATCCAACTTTTGTCTTTGCTCCTACTTTTCCAAATTTTTCCCTATGTAATTTCTCACATGTATGAGTAAAAACTACTAATGAAAGCCTGCATAAGTCCTACTTTTATCCTAATTTTTCCAGCAAAATCCTACTTTTGTCCTGTTTTTTTGTGTGCAAATTTTGATCCTACTTTTCTCCTAATTTTTTCCCTGGGTCTGCTTGAAAGCCTGCTGTTGCTTGTCTGTTGTGGCACTTGTTTCGTTTTTGCATTCCCGGCATGTGAATTACACTGTCGGTGAGTGATGGTGTTTGCTGGGGGAATTCAGGGCGATCTCGTGAATCACGTGCAGTCGGGGTTTTCGCTGTTGAATAGATTAACATCAACTTGTTCATTATAGTGCTATGTTATATGTCAGTGTCTGTGTAATGTTACATGTCTGTGTAATGTCTATGGCATGCCATGTCCTGTCTATGTGATAATGTTCCTGTACTTATAATGCTAAGGATGTATGTTTTCGAAAGGAACACCACGTGTGTGTGTGTCTGTAAGTGTTCAGCAATGTGGAACGGAAAGCTATGTGAGTGGCTTACAATCATTTTCGAAACCATCCGCATCTTCTCGATTTTCTGTCGGCAACGACGCAGATTCGCTAACGTCTCCTCTAGCACGACCCCCCCCCCCCCCGTACAACAATGCTGCGGCGGAGTCGCCTGCGACGCGACGTCGTCGTTGCCGCGGCGACGCATCTCAAGCCGTTCGTTACCTCTCGGCAGGCTAGGATCTGCTGTGACATCGTCGTGTTGCACCTGCACAGGAGGAAGGCGTTCTACCACGACGTCAAGTTCAAGGTCGTCCAGACGGAGGCGGGCGACAGGGTAAGGTCGCGAGGTCGTCGGAGTCCCCGCTGACCGTCGTCTGCTCTTGTGTTTTCCAGGCGACGATTTGCTGCGACGTAGTCGTGCTGTATCTGCTGAACAAGCGAGATTTTTACTATGAGAAAAAGTATCTGACGGTGAAAGATCAGGATGCATTTCTGGTGAGACGCGACGACTGTGTTTTTTCTTGTCTCGGTGGTGGTTGGTGGTGGTACGAAGGTTCCGACACGATATATTTTGCTAAATCACGACTCCCAGATACAATCACTTGTCTGTTAGACGAACCACATGTGGTGGGATGAACAAAATGCTACTGTTATCTTATCATTATTACTGTTATCTGGTGTAGGCATTCTCTCTTTTTCGTTTTCTGACGGCAATGGAATGTTGCTAATGGACTCCACGCCCAAAAATCATCGGTGGTGCCATCTGTGTTCGATTAATTCGCCCTTTTTACCGTGTTACTAAGAACGAGCGACGTCTCTCGAGACGAAACAACTCTGCTTTTGAAGCCGAACTGCGTTTGAAATGCATCACAGATTATTGATGGGAATCGCAACAGAACAATAACACTGCAGAGATTTCTTTTGGATAGTTATAATTAATTTTGTGAGCCGTTTGCTCGTAGAACGCGTAGCCAGACAAGCAAAGAACCAGACAAGCGTTGAACGGTCTCTGGGAGAAGTGATTCGTTAGCGGGTTATCGTGTCAGGATCCCGTGGAGATGCCATGCTATAGATTATACGCGCGCGCGTGCGTGAATGTTGCAACTGAGGTTTGCTCTCGCTGCTTATCTCGACTTTGTCATAAGTTGCCCGTTATAAACCCACAAAAATTTATAAAAAAAAGTAGGTTTTTCCTCGTGGCTACCGAATTATCCTGAAGTTGGAAATTTGAAAAAGACGTTGAAAGTAGAGTGTGTGCACGTTTGCTTCATTCATGTGCTCTTCGTGAACGAACGAGCAGAGGAAGGGAGAGCGAGAGCTAACTCGGTTGCGATCCCACACGCGTTCGTCTGCGCGAGGCATCTCCACCACCTCCTCCACGGAGCTAGACCGTATCACGTTCATTCAGCCGTTGTTGTTGCGTCGTGTACTTGCAGCCGTCCCAGCACAGCCCGGACAGCGAACGCGCGGACCCTGTTGTCCGTCGGGCGTAGTAGTCGAGCAAGACGCGGCGGCGAGTGTTAGTGGGTCGCGGAGATAAACGGCAGGTTTGTCGGCGATGCGGTTGCCTAGGCGATGGCGTGATGCTGCGGCTGCCGCGCTAACAAGCGGCCGTTCTAATGCTGTTAGCTCCGTGACGAGTCCTAACCGAATGTTCTTTTGTTTTTGCTCGTTGCCGGTGCCTCCTGGTGGTCAGCGGCGGTGCCGGCAATGTCGCATGAAATTGTTTTTGTCTCGTATTGTCGCGAACGTAATGATTACCTCATCTTCCCTGTTTATAATTTGTGCGAAAGTGTTACTAATCGGTGCGCTACAATTTAGTTAGCTGCGTGTCACTATGACCTCCATCGCTCTGCTTCGCGGATCGATGCAATGGAAGCTATAGTATTGGAGCTATACTGTAGTCAGGAGTGTATAATAATATTATATAGAGCTATATTAGGGATATATAATAGGATATGTAATAGGGTCTATATTATACACTCCCGCTATAGTCATAATCCATGGTTCCTCCATGCAGCCTCCTTTCCTCCATGCAAGTTGCACTCACACGCAGCCGGCTGAAAGGTGCGATAGGATATGTTTACTAGGCACTAGGCAACATATATTTTTAATTTAATTAGGGTTAGGGTTAGGGCACTTTTTAGGGTTTTTGCATCTTTCTTTAATATATCGTAAAATATATGTTAAAATTAGAAGTGCCTAGTAAACATATCCTATCGCACCTTTCAGCCGGCTGCCACTCACACACACTTTGCACACGGTCCAAACAACACGTCACTCAAAGGCTCAAACGTCGTCTGTTTCCGTATCTCTTACCGTTGTTTAGCTACAGTGGTTTAGAGTCGAGTTTGCAAGGGTTTGTTTAGAGTTTAGGAGATGCAAGAGTTTATGCAAGATGCCGATCTTGTAACTTGTGTTTGCACGTATATATAGCACGTGTTGCTGTTTTATTTTAATATGATTGCCTTTACTGCATGTATTGTGTTACAAGGTTTGGATACTGCCTGGCAATATATTATCAGGAGTTAATAAAGACAAACTCCTGATTGTCTTTATTAACTCCTGATATTATGTGTGATAGGATTTTATGCTCGAGTTTAGAGTTTTTGTAGACTAATATTTTGCCTCATAAATAGGTGAATGTTTTGTTTCTATAGCTTACTATGCACCCCATATAAAAAAAAGTTTATTTTTATTATACTTATTTGCTGTGCTTCATTGCCTTTCAAAACAGGATCTCATAGACCGAATAAGTACAAATTCAACAATCACACATTCCCATTTTTATTGCCAGTGCTTAGCATTTCCACGGAGCATTTAACTTGCCACGAACCACTCCTTCTATCTTATTGCTGTGTCTTATTATGTTTCTTCTCACAGCTGTGCTGCTAGAGCCATGTGATATTGGTTTTTGTGCGTTTTTTTTTTAACTTGGCTTTGTTGCTTACTAATGTAACATATGTTTTACAGATGTTTACATAGAGTAGTCGGTGGAGTTGGACTAGGGGTTGTTTTAGTAATAGTCTATCTATACACAGCGTCGCACATTTTGTGTGGCCGCATTGATGTTACAGGGAATTGGATAAGCGTGTTTTAGGTTAGGCAGATTCTCGAGTCATTGTGAAATAGGGGTGGGTTTTGGGGAGACAGAGATGTAGGAGTTGAGGAGTCTGGTTGTGGTCGGGAGAGTAATCGCGTTTCTTTCTCTTTGTGCAAGATGGACACACTGTGTGCGAGCATATATTAAAGTTTATTCCACACAAGTTTGGATTCTTTATTTACGTACATCGAAGCACTAATTCAACGTTACACTAAGATTTCCTTTTCTTTTCTAGCTGGGAGAAGAAGACAATGGTCCCCCTGATGCCGGCAGCACTAGATGAACAGAGAGAGAGAGAAGAGAAAGAGAGAGAGGACAGGGAGAGAGAGGACGGAGGACGGAGGAGAGAGAGAG